ATACACATATGTTTCTACACGTATGTTCGTACACATGTGTGTATTTCTACACACATGCATATAACGTATGAAGCACACGCAAGTAGAGACGTTCCTTAAATACATAAAGCATCCAGAAGCATTGTGATGAAGTTGAGGCAAACTAACCTACGTTTGCTCTGCTATTCTTGGCCTACCAACGGACATTGTTTGAAGCCGTTTATTTAGCTAACTCGTTTACTTCCATGGGGGGTCACTAGTGGTTACGAATTTAATTTGATTAAATATGTTCTGGAGGTCTCAAGAATTACGTGGTATAATAGGACTGTTTTAATGTTACTTGGATTAAGTTTGTAATTTGGTTATATTGCCATTTTCGCAGGGTAGAATGTAATTACATTAATGTAAGTTTGGGTGTGAAGTTGAGGATGGCCATGGTTGTATGGTCTATTAAAACGAATATTGAGAGTTGAACTATTATGCGTTGCGGCACCATGCGTGGAATTATCACGTGTGGAATTGTCACATGTGGAATTATGGCGCTTGGAATTACCACGATGTAGAATACCCACGAAGTAGAATTACCAAGCGTTGAATTGCCACGAGGTAGAATCACCAAGCGTGGAATTAACACGCGCCGCGTGGAATTACCAAGCGTAGAATTACCAAGCGTGGAATTACCACGCGCTGAATTACCAAGCGTGGAATTACCAAGCGTGGAATTACCAAGCGTGGAATTACAAAGCGTGGAATTACCACGCGCTGAATTACCAACGATCTAAAGTTCCGTTGTACAAAAATTGAGAGATAAATACTTTGAAAGTGCACTTGACTGCGAAAGTATTTCAGCTGCCAAGATTCGGAATAGAAATTTATCGGCGATCTTACGATTCACGAGTGTGAAAAGGGCGTGAATACGATGAAGGGAAAACGGAAGGCGCCTCTGGGAATGCAACAAGTTCGCGACGCCTTTATCCTCGCAGACTATCCTTTTGTGTCCCTGGAACTTGGCCAACAGTGACTCACTGTTGTCCGTCAACCTCTCCCTCTTTCTCTCATTTGCTTTTTTTTTTTTCTTATCTCATCGAAAGTGCAATCGATCATTTCGCAGATTACTATGATCAAAGTTCAAACGTCGTTGACCATGTAACGAGATTCGTTGCTTTTCACTTTATCGGTTGTTCGACCCTTTATTAGATTCTGTCTCCCTTGAAAAGTTTACGAAGTGAGATTGAATCGATAGAAACACTCGACCGTTGCTACATCAAAGATATTTCAACGTTCGCCGATGCTCTTTGCTCGAATGTTGCTCTTTCCACGGATTTCGTTGACGAAGCTGCTTGAATTCTAAATATTAATTCTAGCTTGCATGTGAATGTTAAAATCAGCGCGTGGCAATATAATGCGAGGAAACTCAACGCGTAGAATATCAGCGCGTGGAAATCCAGCACGTGGAAAATCAGTGCGTGGCAATATAACACGAGGGAATTCAACGCGTGGAAAATCAGCGCGTGGCGATATAACGCGTGGAAATCCAACACGTGGAAAATCAGCGCGTGGCAATATAACGCGAGGGAACTCAACGCATGGAAAATCAGCGCGTGGCGATATAACGTATGGAAATCTTAAATAAATGCGAACACCGGATGAAATGAATTGCTCAAACCGTAGCTTACTTGATACGAAATCTTTAATTCATACTTTCCATTTATTTCGTCACGAGTAATGTATTCGTTGATTATACCTCGATACGGGTAATGCTGGACATTGGAACAGGTCACTTCTTTTTAAAAGTAAAAATAAAAAAAGTAGACTTAAAAATCATATGCTATTATATGGCCTAATTTTCTGTCAACGCGTGGCGATATAACGCGAGGAAATCCATCGCGTGGAAAATCAG